ATTGATTGCATCTGCTAAAATCTTGTACAGATTATTTCCTTGCCCTCGGGATATTTGGCAGGCTGTCGCCCAATGAGTTGGGCGTGAGTGATTATGAAACCTACTGAAAACACTGATTAAACAATTTTATGTAATTGAGAAGTTATAGAATTCATTTTTGCTCTTTACATTCAATCCAAATTATATGAAGTCAAGGACAAACAGTTCTTAGTGACCCGTTTAGTATTGCCTAAAATTTGAGTTGGCCAAGAGTGAACAGGTTGTCAATAAAGCTATTTCAGGAACCTCCTGATGCTTTCATCAACCGATTTTACCAACGACTTTAGATTTGCCGGTCTTTGTCCTCAGTCCGAAGCTATAACCACTTGAGAATTTTATTTTAAAATGAACATAAAAGCTTATTGCCAAATATATTTATAAGAAATCTCTGCTATTTTTCCCGAGAGACATCCTATCGACAGCTATAAGCTGAGCCAACCTAAAAGCTGCTAAAAGCTGAGCATTAATGGAGCGGGATCTTTCTACTGACTTATGTTTAATTTCTTCCACAGTTTAATTTAAATATATATTTAAAACTAGGTTTTGGGGATCGGTATGATTTATATAAAAAAAATCGGAGAATGATGTTCATCCTAATCTAATCTCTAATGCTAATTCTAATCGAACCGTTTCGAATCCGGATTCCAAATTTATTTTTTACTATGAACCGTAACTTAAACAAAGCCAGTTGCGAGAATATAAGTCAAACCGCAAACCTAACCATATTTCTTTCCAATGTGTTTTTGATAAAATTAAATAGGCTTTTGACTGCGACAATGGGTCAAAATACTTTATTATATTTTGCAGATACTAATTCTTGAGTAAAGTTGAAATTTATGAAAATAGTTACGGTTTAAAATATTCTCAGTAGAACAGGCAATTTAAAAAAATTGATTTTGCTATTAAAATTTTGAAATTATATGACAAATAAAGGTTTGATCTAAAATCTGGATTCATGGATGTGGAAAACCAAGCTCGCAAATAGAACCTAGAGTACTGAATTCTTATGAGGGCTGACAGACCCGATTCACCCCAAATATTAACCTTTAAAACCAATTTATGATACAGCTGAATATTTTTCAAGCGAACAAACTGAAGGTTTCCTCAACTTTTCCGTTTGGTCAGTGAGGCATCGTTCCGTGCAGTTACTCGTATACTCGTATCCGTATCTATGATCCATTTCAGTAACTGGTGTCCACATCTTCAAGTCAAATGCCACTCACAGAGTCCAACTGAGACTGAGACTGAAGTGAACGGTAGCTGCTGGTTGGCAGCCGTGTGGCTTTCATTGCGTGCCATGGATGATTTATGGCATATGCCAAGAGCATAGCAGGTTAATAGAAATTACTTGAACTCAATTTACTTTCACCGAACTAAACGCAACAACGACGCCATTACAAAATTTCCATTTTAATTTGATTGAACCACGCCATAAAGCCATGGCCATTATTGGTGGTTGTTCCTCCTTGGTGGTGGTTCTTGCTCTTGCTGTTGCCCACCCCCGCAGTCTGGATTTAATGAAAAAAAAAAAAAACGAACAAAAACAAAAAAGGAAATAGAAATACGGCACAACATTTTGTTGCTGTTCCCAATGTTCAGTTATAAGTAAGTAATTAAAACTATGCCGCGCCTTTGTGCGCATTTTGGGCGTTTAATTTTCTTGGAGTTCCTTATCAGCCGCCCAGACGACCGCTAAAAAACAAAAATAAAAACAATTAAGAGCAAGACTGACCGACTAGAAGATACCCTATCTTCACAAAAAGCACAGTTTATGCTGCGGTTGTGCCTCTTCTTCTTCCCGTAGCCCCACTCTATGGGAAATTCTTTCTCGATTAACTTTGCTGCTAATAGTATAATCTTTATGAAATGTTCAGCGCATATGGCATATGACATGCAAATATGTTTTAAATATCAAAGCCCAAAGCATTTTTCTTTTTCACTTTTGAGGCTTATTGTATAAAACCATCATACCCTTTTTAGCCACTTTACAGGTGTTCATGGTATAATTAGAAGCGAATGGTAAAAACAAGTCCACCAAATCGAAGCAGCAATTGTTGCGTATGTTATATATATATATTTTTATATATATATGTGTGCTTATGTATTTCTACATATATATATAAATTAGGTTTCGGAAAGTCAGCAGCTCTTCAACTGATCGTCGATACTGTCAAAAGTCGAAGAAGTACTGATAACTGAGTTTCGTTTTCATTTCGCAGAGCGCAGAACACTTGAAACTGCATGGACAAGTTGAAGGGTAGCAAATGTGATTCTAGGAAAGATACGAACAGCTCTTGTATGCTATCGTGTCTACTTATGTATATGGGTGTTGGTCAGAAAACCCCACTGAAAGAATCGAGCGCCATAAATACCTTAGTATGCGCCGCCAATAAGTCTTGCGTCTTAGGGCCATAAATTTTGGTCTTAAATATTTTAAGCTAGGCGGCCTTTGTCATCAGCTTTGGGGTATTAATTGCACGACTTTACACCAAAAGCAATAGTTCGACTGGCCAGACTCTGATTCAGGGTATGGCATAGCGCCACATACGTCGTTCCTCTTCTGGACTTAATCGTAATGTTGAATTCATGTTGCGCCATTTGTAACAACGTCAGAGTTGTCGGCTCGGTGCAGGCGGGTGAAGGCTGTCAGCTTTTTGAGTTTCATTTCGCATTTGTTATTAATCACCGCGTTGATAGTCTGTGACAAGCTCCAGCCACATATCTTGGCATATGCCTCGAGTGTGGCTACTTTAAACAGGCAAACTATTAGATACTTTTGTTTTGGCTGTGCTTTTAAGATTTGCCCCATGATTTATGTTTGCCACAAGTCGAAACAATTAAATTTATCAGGCAATGCCATTGTAGGCGATATCAGAACCTATATATATGCATCATACAATTAGAATCTCCTCGGGCTGCGTGCACATTGGCAAAAAGAAAGCTGCTCGTAATTGCAGAGGCATAAAACCGACAACCTGGCCAGCTAATTTTTCATTAAATTTAATTTATGTGCGCCCGTTCCTGGCTCCCTACTCCGCTGGACTACACAAGGGGCTTGTTAAAGACCGTCATATATATGGTTGCTTTATGGCGGCAACTGTAAACAATTTATGATATTGTCAAGACCTGGTTTTCGGTAAATTTACGTGTTCTAACGTAATATTAATTCTTGTGCTAGTTATTAACTAATAAATACGTATTTAAAAAGCAACAGTCTCTATTTATTTTCAAGATTCTATAGAGGCGAAGTAAATGCCCCACTTATATGCACCGAAAATCTTAACAAATTTGACATTGGAAACCGGTATAAATTCCCAAGCCACAATACATTCTTAAAATCGTCATTATGGTATCAAAATATTAATCCCCACATGATCAACTCTAGCGATTTTCTTTCATAAACAGATGGCATTGACCCTCCCATAAGCAGACTGGTCGAAATAGAAGTGATTCGCTTACATCTTGGACTCACCAAATTAACAGATTCCCATTACATGAACACTACACATTCTACTATTATAGCATATTTCAATTTTGCAATATAAATATCACATTCTTAATTACAGTTCCACGTAACAAATCCATAGACAAGCACTTTACAAAAGAATCCTTCTCCATAAAATAAATCCACAATTATATCTTTTCTAAAACAAGACAATATCTAGCACCTTATTTAAATATTCCCAGCATAAACAAAACTTATGCACCTTTTACTTCCCAACCTCACTTTTAACGATATATTAACTTTCAAAGTTCACTTTAATCTCTATATATAAAACTGTTTGTCCTGACTGACTGACTGACTGACTGACTGATTGGTGATCAACGCACAGCCCAAACCGTAAGAGCTAGGAAGCTGAAATTTTCACTGTAGTTACCTTATGTGATGTAGGTGCACGTTAAGACGGGGTTTGGGAAATTCCACTCGCAAGTGTTTTGCGAGAAATGTGAAACACGTCTCTAATGATTTTTCTTATAGATCTTTGGAAATGAATTTGAGCGCGAAACGTCACCCACCAAATCTTTGACCTCCATTTCCACCAAGAAGGAATGGATTTTCCTAAAAGTGTGAAACACCCCTCAAGTGAATTTGAACAAAGATCTTTGAAAATAAGTTTGAGGCCGATCGGATGGTAAACAAAAAAGTTACATACAAACGCTTTTCGCGATTTTTCCACACTTGCGGGTGGAATTTCCCGAAAGCCCGTCTTAACGTGCACCTACATCACATAAGGTAACTGTAGTGAAAATTTCAGCTTCCTAGCTCTTACGGTTTGGGCTGTGCGTTGATCACCAATCAGTCAGTCAGTCAGTCAGGACAAACAGTTTTATATATAGAGATGTACTTCTAAAATCTAAGGGTTGTAGTACTTTGCACGTTTGCTTCAAATTTAAAAAATTATTTCCAATCTTCATATTATATTTTTCTCATAATAAAATAAAATTTTCTCCGGCCTTCTAAAATAGTTATGAAAACTAATTCTGAATTAGTATTTATTTTATTTTATTATTATTTTTTGGTATGTTTTATATATGTTTTTATATGTTTTAAGCTCAGACAAGTTGTACAACTGCACATTGAATAAAATGACTTAAAAATGATTTAACAAGTGTCTCTGTTAGAGGCTTAGACACAATTTCCGCACACCTGATCCTCGACCACGTGTGCTTGTAATGCGTGCCAAAGCACGAGCTTAAGTGTGTGTATAAATAGTATCTGCATTTGCTCGGATACACAACACACGATGATTGTTGTTGTCGTCAAATTTCATTAGTTTCAACACTTGAGACATTTATGAAGTGGAGCAAAGCTGCCCACATACTATACTCTGAGTGCCGGAGGGGGCCCAACCGTATATAAATTTATGCCCGGGTCCGGACAGGTGTCTGAACGCCAGGCCCATTGTGTAGCCAAAAGTGTTGACTAACTTGGCGTACGGTTTATTAGTTTGCCAGAAAAGTGTTTTACGACTGCAATTAGAAAATGCGCCCAGCTAAATTGCACAATCGACAAATAGGTGGCCTGCAATAGAATCGAAATGGGTGCCAAGGGGGGCGGTTGTGCTGGCTGGAGCTGGAGCTGGGGCTGGAGCCGTGTCCATAAACTACATATGGCCCTGGTCTGGTCTAGGCTGGCTCTTAAATATTTGGTTGACGCCACGGAATGTTTCTGAGCACGCATGCGCAATTTGTATCTAAGAGATACTTATCGCTGGCAACAGTAACGTTCGTCGACGTTGTCGTTGCTGCCTGTTGTTGTTTGCTATTCACACAAACACAAGCACAAACACACATACACACCCGCACACACACACACATAGTCATATACACCTTATCGCTGGCGATAAGATAAGCAATACCAGAGCACGAATACAACGACAGCTACAAGAGCGCTGCAAGAGTATAGAAATAAATCATAACTCACACACACAGGCACACACACGCACACACTATATGCCATATATGCTATATACTTCTAAATGAAGCGCTGCAAACTGCGTCTGTGTGCGTTTTATAATTGGGCGCTGAGGTAAAGGTGCTAAGCGCGGCAGGCACCGCAATGCGTTGCGTCCACATCGACGTCGACATCGGTGTTGGTATCGGTGTTGTCGTCGCCATCAGCCCGGGCTCGAGTTGGTCTCGAAAAAATAGCACTTATTATTATTATTAAATGCCGCGCGGGAAACAACGAAAACGCTCTACGGATGCCAAAAGCCTGCCCTACCAATTTTGCCCAAACAACTTGCGCACAATTTTCACCGAACTGAATTGAATTTTCCCACTTTCAAAAAAGTAACAATACCAAAAAGCATTTTCCATGCGCGCGCTTTTCTAACTGCGGCGATAAACAGCGTGTTTCCGAAGCATACAACAAAACAACAACAAAAAAACATTTACCAGTGCTTGTGATAATTTTTTAAAAACAAAAAAATCAAGTGATAAAAACGCAACTTAGATAAAACTAAACAACAATAGTCGAGAGCCAAAGCAACGAACATTTGATGGTTTGCAAAAGTGTTGATATAGTCGATATCAAGATGCAGCTGAAGGTTCGTATAGATACGATAATTAAATATAATAATATAATAAACAAGTGTTGAATAATCAATAAATATATATACTAGCTAATGTAAGCATTTTGTTTTCCCGAATTTAATTCATTAAGTTTTTAATGGTTAATTAAAAATTAATTTTGTGCACTTCGAAATTCTGGAAAGAAATATATTATTTATTTTATGGGCTATTTAGTTTCAGTTTTTATATCAAGATATTACTGCAGCAACGGGTTTTCTAAGACTGAAATCTAATTATCTGGCATAAAACTAAAGAAAAATACCAAGTTCCATTTCAAATCAATTTATCTAAAACTTTAAGATACTCTAACAAGACTGCGTGATCATCTAAAGATCTCAGTGGTTTCTCACACCGGTTCATTAAGTTGACAATCTACAGATGAGCGACAATAAACTTTTTATGGCATTGTCGTAAATATTCTCAATTGTGCGTTAAAGTTAATGAGCTGAGAATATTTGCTCAGTTGGAACAAAATTTATAAAAGTTTTAGACGAGCTAAAAAAGGGAAAAGTGTCTTAAAACATTTCATAAATATTAATAAGAAATCGTTTATGATTAATTATACTCTGCGAATTGAATTTTATTCGATTTCGACCATTTTGCTTGGATCAAAAACGGCAGCTAACAGATTTTTCGTTTTATTCTTTTGGAGGGACAGACAGAGACAATTGTCGCTGAGATAAGACAAATTGATTTATAATGAATGACTCATCGAGCCGCTTGCACGCAGTTCCACAAATGCGACATTTTTTTCGTTCTTCGAAATAAGTGCATTTGAAAAAAACTCAAATGTGGAAAGATGTTTTATCTTTATGAGGCCATAGCGAAATTGTGGCGGTGGCGTTAAAATACCTTCAAATAAAAACACGCACACATAGAGCAGCAGAGATCCTTTAGGTCCTTTGGCAACGAGTCCGGCACACAGCACGCGCAGTTCTTTCATTCATGAAAAAAGGTCAATTTTTTGTGCCCAAAGTAATGTGAAATTTATGTCAATCTTATCGCCTCGCCACGCAAGGGATGAGCCCATCAGATGTGGAAGTGAAATGCTTTATGAATGAAATTCAATTGCCAACCCTTAGTGCCTCAGGGGGGGTTGCCTCTAATCTGCAGCGGAAGTGCGCAGCGCGAACCAATCGCAATCGAGGACCAGTTAACAGTTGGTCAATGGCGGCATCGGCGGCGGCTGCAATTGATTGCGATAGTCCACGGGGCCGGGTTAGATACTCAGTCTCAGATAGTTTTATTAGACACGCGTCGCCAGTTGACAGTTGCCAGTTGACGTTGAGTTCTGATAAGCTCAAGGGTCAAAGCGGCTTGGGCCATTTAATTGATGGCACTTTAATGGAGTTGTAAATGCAGCTGCCAGCGGCATCTTATCGGCCCTACCATATATATATATATATATAAATAGTTATATACACTCTTTTTTATTAGAAAAAGTCATTGCAGAGCGGCTCTTAATTAATTTGGGTAGCTGGCAAATCTAATCGAAGCGGTTGATCTTGCCTTTTGTTACGCCCCCCGACAGCCCAGCGCCAACGAAAGCGAAAAGAGCTACGATTATGCATAAAGCCAATATCTCTTGTTTATAAAGATAAAAAATATTAAAAAAGAGCATTGTAGGTGTGACTGCACAGATTTCATTCATAAATGCGTATCCGCACCCATGACAAACTGTGGACTAAAGCCAAGCAAATACTCGCAACTCGCAACTCGCATACCGCTGACATGTAGACAAGGCGTGCGGCTAAACTTATGCACTGTAATATTTGTTTCTTTCTTGGCTTTTATCTGTCCCGTGTCTATCGATGACGTAGCCAATCGATCCAAAAGGCAAACATGACCTCCCAGCTCCACAGCAGCGATCGGCCCAGCAGCAGCAGCAGCAGCAGTAGCAACAGCTGATTGTGTATGCTGATAGCAGCTAACGGATAAGATATTGTCGTTTGGTGGCAGTATCTTAACTAAACTTTCTGTTTCATATGCACACATATTGTTCTACATGGACACAAACATTGACACACGTGCATATAGCATATCGTGAACAGGTATCATATCATACAATACATCCTAGATTATAAGCAATCACGTTTGTATTTTATTATTATCTCTGAGCAATATTCATTGAACTTTGCATTTCGTGTTGCTCCAACTACTTTAATCAATACATCTACAAAAAACGCTTAGCAATTTATAGTTGCGCTGGCTAAAATCAATTTTCTGAAAAAATAAATGCTACAATTGAATGACTTTTACTTTCATTAGATATTGTTTTGAATTCCCTTATAATTGTTGAGTATTTGTAAATACATTTTAGCTGGAGCGCAGAACAATTTAAATCGATGACAAATGTCTATTTAATATTTAAATTTGGGTACTAATAATTATTCATTTTAATAAATTGACACTGAGACTTTGATGCCTGCTCACTTTTTATGACCTTCTATGAATCATATTCTACACGGCTTAATTCTACTTAAATCGATCATTTCTGTCAAATAAAACACAATTCAACATAAAGTGTCGAAACCAAATAAAATTTACGGAAATTCATAAAGAATTCGTTGAAAAACTGTTTCCTGCATTTCATGTGAGTTGTATTATGACACAATGGCACGCACCGAATATTTCAATCAATAACTGAACCCTCAAAGCAAACAATATACATGCTCACATACGTTAAAACACATTGGTTAATATTAAACGTATAAGCAAAAAAATGACGTACTGTAGGTATCATGAATTCATGAGAATTGCGTAGTAGGGCGATATTTAAGAATACATTATTTACTAATCGAAACGCAGCGGAAAGTAAACTTGGTATGCGTTTTGTATACGAGAAGATACAGTCCGAATCAAAGATTGTATCTCTAAATCGACACATTTCCATCCTTAAAAAAAACAGAGCAATGTCTAGATTTATCCTGAGAGATTTAAAGTCAAATTTCTTTACAAGCAGACAGTTCGACATTGCCTCATTTGCTCGTCGGCTAGACCAAGTATATATATGTGATTAATATACAATATTTATTCGAATATCATAATTTAATATATAAAAATATGTATTAGAAGATGTCTATTACTTGGGATTCCAATAGTTTTATATTATTTGAAATATATATATTTGTTTATTTGTTAATTTAAAAATAAAAAATGTGTGCTTGATTTTTGTAATACTATATCATTTCAATTGATGCTTAACAACAGCTCAAATACGTGCATAATGAGTATTTCTATTTGCTCACCAATTTTATGTGCAGGCAGCCTTGAATTTAATATATCTTAGTGCTCGTCGTAGTTGGGACTTTCCCCGTGGTGGTGACATAAAAACGCACCTAAAAGCTTGAAGTTTGTGGAACTCGTTAAGAGTGAGGAGTAAAGCACAGTTATTGCCGCGAGGCACCGTCATGAATCAGGTGACGCTGACGATCGCATATTGACACTTGGCTGCGCCACCCCCACCAAATGAGGTCATAAACCAAGACAAAACCCAGCGAGCTGACGTACCAAAGCAACAAGTTTTTTCTTTTTATAGTTTTGTTGAAATACTTGATTTTTTTTTAAACTGACGCGAAATTGTTAATTTTGATTTCCGGACAAGACAGAAAACGAAACTGAGTTCTGTGACTAAACAAAAAAACAAAAAGTGAGCCACAGTTTGTTGCATTGTAATTGGGAAAAGTGAAAAATGTGTGCGGTGTTTGGTGTGCGGTGTGTGGTGTGTGTTGGCACAACTTCGATGAGGAGGCAGACAGCAAATAGAGAGAGGTTCAGGCGCAGGCCACAAGAGTGCAAGTCGGGCCAGAACGGCACTCGCATTTTGTATTTTATGATTTGTAGGCGACAAATTGAGCTGCGAGTTGTGAGCTGTGAGCTGAGCGCTGAGCTGGTCGGCACCTTTGAACATTGTCGGTCTGTGGGTCTCAGTCTGGGGGTATTGGATTTTTGTTTTTGCGCTTGTTGACTCTGTGTGGCGGAAATAGAGGCGGCCGGCCAAGTTCGCATTGTGTGGCCGGAACTGGAGTCACACTTTTGACAACAAGCTGTCAACAATAAGTTATCCATTCATCATTTGTGCCTTGGCCATTGCAGATGGAAGCGCAGACGACGCCGCAGCAACAGCAACAGCAGCAGCAGCAACAGCAACAGCAGCAACAACAGCAACAACTACAGCAACAGCAACAGGTGCTTAGCAAACAGCAGCTGCAATTGCTGGACAAAATCAAAATTGAGACAAGCAACGGCAACGATCCACAGGCCAACAGCGTACTGGAGGAGCAACAGGATCAACAGCAGCCGCCCCCAACAGTTGGCGTTCTGGTGCAGACGAACAGCCAGCCAAGCGATTCCGAAGAACAGCAGCAGCAGCAGCAGACACAGTATGTCGTAGTGCCACGCACCCAACAGCGACGCATTCTTACCACAGCGGGCACACTGTAAGTAGACACGCAACAAACTTCTAGCATACCCTGTAAAACTGTAATTCGTGACCGCCCGCAGCGAAGTGAACGAGACACGCGACGGCGAACACAGCACCAACAACAGCAGCGCCAGCTCCAATTCAGCGCCAGAGACCCACATTGAGTATCAGCGCAGCTCGCATCACTCACCCCACTACATTCAAATGGCGCCGCGGACTGCAGTCGAGGTGGCCGAACAGGTGGCCAATGCGCCACCCGGCACGCTTTATGCCTACCCCTCCGGCCAACTCATTTGCAGCAGCGATGATGGCACGCCCATCAAAATAGAGAGCATCGACAAGAACGATGTGCCAGGAGATGCGCAAGCTCAGCACCTGCAACAGCAGCAGCAGCACGCACACCAACAGCAACAGCAGCAACAGCAGCAGCAACAACAGCAATGCCCCACACCCAATGGCGGTCCTTATGGTGATGCCATTGTGGTCAGCAGCGAGGCTGCACTGCAGCATCATCACCAGCAGCAGCAGCAGCAGCAGCAACAACAACATCAACATCAGCAGCACCAGCAGCAACAACAACAACAACATCAACAAGCAGCAGTTGCTGCCGCAGCAGCAGCAGCGGCCGCTGCTCACACGCATGTGCGCTATGTGACAGAGGATGGACGCTTTGCCACCACCAGCGGAGATGCAGAGGCGCCCGGCGGCAATCTGTACTATGATGCCTCCGTTGTGGATGCCAGCGTGCATCCCAACGAGTCTAAGACATATGCGGATCTGGGCAATGCCTATGCCTTTCCGCCCAACTCGACCTTCAGCAGCAATAGCTATGCGGCGGCCACGCTGCAGCAAGGCAACACCATTTACAGTGTGCCAGGAACGGCGCAGTTTATAACCAAATCCGATCCAAACTTGAATCCGTTAAGACAAACGGCGGGACCATATCAAACGATATCCTTCTTGGACGGCACCAATGCCACTGATGCGGGCTTGTGGACCACAGCCGGCGGCGAATATCAGAATGTGTCATTTGTAAGTATAGCACCTAGCAGTACGCACCAATTGTAGCTTAACGCCCTGGCCAACCTGCAGTCGAACTATCCTACGCAGGTAATTGATGACTATTCCACCGGCAACATGCCCGCCGCTCACTGGCCGCCAGCTGGCAGCATTAGCAGCTATGATCCCAGCCTGGCAGCGTCTAATGCCACGTCGCCCTCCACACATGGACTGCAGGAGCTTAAGTGCGAGACCTGCCAGACACCGTTTGTGCGCAAGGGCACGGACTGGCCCAACTGTCCAAACTGCACCAGCTATGTACGCGGGCAGGCAGGCCGGCATGTTCCACAGCGCCAGAAGCCGAAGGCAGCCGCTGCGCCCAACAATCGCCGCAGTGGGGTCATCTGCGCCAACTGCCACACCAACTCAACGACGCTCTGGCGGCGCAACAACGAGGGCAATCCCGTCTGTAATGCCTGCGGTCTGTACTACAAGCTGCACAACATGAACCGCCCGCTCTCCATGAAGAAGGACGGCATTCAGAAGCGCAAACGCAAGCCAAAGAACAATGGAGGACCTCTACCCCATCGAGCACTTCCAAGTGAGTAATCTGATCTGCCCGACTAGAATATACTCTGTTTAAGTCATTGAGCTTTCAGCAAACTGACATTCAAAACAGCGTTGCAAGTCGATATTTATCGATATATTGGTATATAGCCTATTGGTTATAGCCTACACATCAAATTATAGTCTCTAGATAGTCTAGATAACCGGAGAGAAAGACTGACATAGCCAAGAATATATATGTACATACATATATAATGGGGCTCCCTTCTGCCTGTGACATACTTATTTACCAGGATATTTTAACCTTATTATTTTAATTAGTTAATGGGTACTATTTACAAATGGTAAACATTTATTTTTATGTACTTACAAAAAATTTTAGATTGACACACGCGATTATTTTATCAATTAGAGCAAGGCAGACAGATTTTAGATATATGATGAATAAAATAAAGAGAAAGCAGGTGAGAGTAAGAGCAAGAGAAAGACCGATGGATAAAATTAGAGATTGGGAGGGGGGGAGTAAATTAGTGTGATCTAAAATAAAAAGTATTATATTACAAGCACAACCGAATACAATTAACACTTGCAATTCGAGCATTATGACCTGTAAGTCCTGCATACATTTTTGAGAATCGCATAGTAGAGCGATATTTAACGACGCGTGATCGAAAGGGACTATTAAGAAACATACAAAATGTATACTACATTAATTTTATTTAAATAAAAATGTATTTTGAAGGCAATAGAAGTATACTTAACATCTTACATTATCACGAATTACGTTACATATTTTTATTATTGATGCTAAATTAAATGTATGATTTTTTTCTTGTATCTTCCAGGCATGTCACAGGGTGTTAATTTGATGGTAAGCAGTAGCCAGCTGTATCCGTCACAGGTTGCAGTGGGATTAATGAATAGCCAACAGAATACAAGTCCCGAGCTGCACGATATGTCCACAACTGGCCCCGCCGCCGGATCACGTGTGGTGGCCATTGCGTTAAATCCTACAGCGCCAACTTCCGATGGCACGTTGAACATGTCGCGTCACCATGTGACGAGCGAGAGCCACTCGGCCTACAGCCAGCAGCAACAACAGCAGCAGCAGCAACAGCAGCAGCCTCCGGATCAGAGTCAATCGCCTCATCTGCCAAATTCGAGCACATTGAACCGCCAGATTGCGCAGTCGTGAGTTAATTTAATGCTAGTCCAATTCCATTGTTAAATCCTGTTTTCCCTTTACAGTGTTCCGCCAATCGAAAGTGGGCGCAGTTCTAATAGCGAGCTGACCCCAAGCGTCATAACACGCACAGGTCTGCCGGAACGATCTTCGAATAACTAAACTACATACTATTTAAACTATAGTTAACTTCACCAAAATGTAACAATTCATAAATTATTTGTATAAGCTTAGGTAGGCCGATATCCCAGTTAGAAAATATTCGAAAGTAGAACAAGCTCTGCTTCTTTTCGAAGCCAATTTGGAACTAGCTACTGTACCTAACTTGAAAAGAATTTTTTAAAGTTCTGTTGTAGCACATTTATTGAATGTTAAAAGAACTAGTTCCAGTTCGCTGCTTTAAGTTTTCAATGTGTTGAGTAACTTTTCTATGTCCTATGGAAATGTTTAATGTATTATTTTCATTTTTTTTCGAAATTATGAATGCAATTTTTGATTGCAGCGAGTCAGTAAATTCAATTTAACTGGAGGCAAAAACTTTCATTTTTTGTTTTCTTTCAAACGTGTTTTGAATAACTTATCGAAACGCAAAATATATTATATTAAACGGAGATTTTTTTTCCCTTAATAGTTCTATAATTGACCTCGCACTTAAAAATTTAAATATTTCTGAGCCAAATTATTTTGCCATTTATAAGGCAGCCAGGACTTTGTCTTCCTCTTCCCATTAGTCAACTACATGCTACAAATTATTCCAAATGATTTGAGGGCAATACATGGGGTCTATTATATACCAACTATGAGTAAATTATATTTTTCTTATAAATATATATGTGTATGTGTATCTGATAGAAATAATTTAGCAAAAATCATAAGACCGTTAAAAGCCTACGATTTAGTATATTTAAGCTCATTTTTTAAAAATAAATAAGTTGTAAACGCACGACACTTAAGACTTTTGATGACTCTACCAAGTGTTGGCTGTGCGGCGGACATCGAGTCGTCCGCATTGTCGCCTGGCGGGCCAAGCCTGTTATATTTCATTGTCAACAATTTGGCAGCCAACCAAATTGATCCAAATTAATTTTAATGACCTCCGCAGACCACAGCGCAGGGTAGACCATAAAATCTTAACAAGTAAGTGAAAAGGCGACGGCCCCAAAGAAAGCCCAGCAATGTGCTCCAGCTTAGGGTTGGGGCTCGGGCTCTGGCTCGGTCGCGGGCTCGGGCTCGGTCGCGGGCTCGGCCTCGGGCTCATCGGCTCAGCCGGGCCAGTGTCTAAATAGCGATTTGGTGTCATCGCTTAAAAGCCTGTCCGACGCACAACGCCGCCGCGGAGTAACGCCACCGCCAAGTGGCGCTGCCTTTGAAGTGTCGTCGATGGTATGGCAAAAATGCCTGGCCGATTGGGACTTGAAGCAGAAGGAGAAGCGGGCGCAAGATTGGTATAATATTAACGCCTTGATGTGAACATGGACCGTGGACTGGCCTTAGTTGCAGTTCCAGTTCCAATCGTTGCCTTTGTCTGATTTTCTTTGGCCTGAGGCATCTTCGTTGCCGTCCACGGCCTCGTCTCCTTTCCTCTTCATATATATTTATTTAGTTTTATTTTTTTATTTTTTTTTGGCGTACGCTCGATCAATTAGGCAAACTTGTTTTACGACCGCTTTTATTAGCGTTCGCTGGCCGGCGCTCCAAGTATCTTAAGTCCCGA